AGTTATTTCATGATAAAATATTTGATTCAACATGAATATATAATTCTAAATTTAATGTACTAACATAGCTTTTCTGTTTATAAACATTAAATGAACTACAATGAAAAACAGACAAATCAATTAACTCAGAGGAAGAGTTTAACATATTTCTTCTCAGTACCAGCTGGAAAAAGCTACAAAAAATCAGTAATAATTTAGAAAAATTAGAAGATTTAAATAACATAATTAAATAAACTTGACTTAATGGAATACTTTTTCAAGCACACAAGGAATTTTTTTTTTCAATGACTTACACTCTGAACCAAAAAAGAAAGTATCAAAAAATTTGAAAGGGGGGGCACCTGGGTGGCTCAGTCAGTTAAACATCTGCCTTCAGCTCAGGTCATGATCCCAGGGTCCTGGGATTAAGCCCCACATCAGGTTCCCTGCTCAGCGGGAAGCCTGCTTCTCCCTCTCCCTCTGTCTACTGCTATCCCTGCTTGTGCACATGCTCACTCTCTCTCTCTGTCAAATAAATAAATAAAATCTTTAAAAATTTTTTCAGGGGTGCCTGGGTGGCTCAGTGGGTTAAGCTGCTGCCTTCGGCTCAGGTCATGATCTTAGAATCCTGGGATCGAGCCCCGCATCGGGCTCTCTGCTCAGCAGGGAGCCTGCTTCCTCCTCTCTCTCTCTGCCTGCCTCTCTGCCTGCTTGTGATTTCTCCATCAAATAAATAAATAAAATCTTTAAAAAAAAAATTTTTTTTCAAAAGTAATAAAATGTTACATAGTATATATTCAGATTACAAGAAAATTGTGGCAAAAGTAAAAAACGAGGAGAGGGAAATCTAGAAAGCTTCAGAAATTAAGGAAATAGTCAGAAATTAAGGAAAATGAGAAAATATTTTAAACTCCTAATGAAAATTTCTGAGATACATACCAAGCTGCTCATAGCAAGAAAGATAGCCTTAAATGTATATATGAGGCGGGGGAAAGGCTTGAAGTTAAAATAAGCATCTATATCAACAGGTCAGGAAGAACTGCAAAATAAACCCACCCAAACTAAGTAGAAGGAATGAAATACCAGAGACAAAAAATGAAATAGAGAGACGTACAGGTGCATTTGGCTGACTCTGTCAGTAGAGCATGCAACTCTTGATCTTAGGGTTGTGGGTTCAAGTCCCACATTGGGGGTAGAGTTTACTGAAAGAAGGAAAGATAGAAAGACAGGAAGGAAGGGAAGGAGGAAAGGAGAGGGGAGGGGAGGGGAGGGGAAGGGAAGGGAAGGGAAGGAAAGGGAAGGGAAGGGAAGAGAAGGGAAGGAAAAGAAAGAAAAAAGACCTTGAGAACTTGTTTGGAAGTTCTAGGAGAAAAGCACAACTATTCATACACCTTTGACCAAAGAATGGTCCTTCTCTATCAGGGAAGGTCATCCTCAGTAGACTGAATGTGCAGCTTTGGGAGAGACGCACATGGAGCACTGAGGTGATGAAGGGGACACCAAATTTGGCAGCCAGCCAAATCAGCCAAATCAACCCTCATGATCAATGGGGTGACGGATGTCACAGCCAGATCACTCTCAAATCCAATCCCTATCAAAATACCATCAACAATTTTCAGAGAGCTGGAATAAATAATCCTAAAATATGTATGGAATCAGAAAAGACCTCAAATAGCCAAAGCAATCTTGAAAAAGAAAACCAAAGCTGGAGGCATCACAATCCTGGACTTCAAGATATATTACAAAGATGTAATCATCAAGACAGTATGATACCGGCACAAAAACAGACACATAGATCAATGGAACAGAATAGGGAACCCAGAAATGGACCCTCAATTCTATGGTCAACTAATCTTTGACAAAGTGAGAAAGAATGTCCAATGGAAATAAGACAGCCTCTTCAACACATGGTTTTGGGAAAATCTGACAGTCACGTGCAGAAGAATGAAACTGGGCCACTTTCTTAGACCCTATACTAAAATGAACTCATAATGGATAAAAGACCTAAATGTAAGACAGGAATCCATCAGAATTCTAGGGGAGGGGAGGGGCACTTCAGTGGCTCAGTCACTAAGCACCTGCCTTTGGCTCAGGTCATGATCCCAGGGTCGTGGAATCGAGTCCCATGTTGGGCTCCCTGCTCAGCGGGAAGCCTGCTTCTCTCTCTCCCACTCCTCCTGCTTGTGTTCCCTCTCTTGCTGTCTCTCTCTATCAAATAAATAAAATCTTAAAAAAAAAATTCTAGAGTGGAACATAGGCAGAAACCTCTTTGACCTCAGCCACAGTAACTTCTTGATAGACATGTCTTCAAAGGCAAGGGAAAGAAAGGCAAAAATGAACTACTGGGACTTAATCAAGATAAAAAGCTTTTGCACAGCAACGGAAACAGTCAACAAAACTAAAAGGCAACCTATGGAATGGGAAAAGATATTTGTAAATGTCTTATCAGATAAAGGGCTACATCCAAAATCTATAAAGAACTTATCAAACTTAACACCCAAAGAACGAATAATCCAGTCAAGAAATGGGCAGAGGACATGAACAGACATTTCTCCAAAGAAGACATACAAACGGCCAACAGACACATGAAAAGATGTTCAACACCACTCAACATCAGGGAAATACAAATCAAAACCACAATGAGATACCACCTCATACCAGTTAGAAAGACTAAAATTGACTCAGGAAACAACAGATATTGGCAAGGATGCAGAGAAAGGGAAACACTCTTACAAGGTTGATGGGAGTGCAAACTGGTGCAGCCACTCTGGAAGACATTATAGAGGTTCCTCAAAAAGTTAAAAATATCTGCCTTCAGGGGACGCCTGGGTGGCTCCAGTTGGTTAAGTGGCTGCCTTCGGCTCAGGTCATGATCCCAGCGTCCTGGGATCAAGTCCCACATCAGGCTCCTTGCTCGGCAGGGAGCCTGCTTCTCCCTCTGCCTCTAGCCTGCCACTCTGTCTGCCTGTGCTTGCGCTCTCTCTCTCTCTCTCTCTAACAAATAAATAAAATTTAAAAAAAAATCTGCCTTCAGGATCGAGCCCCGCATCAGGCTCCCAGCTCAGCAGGAAGCCTGCTTCTCCCTTTCCCACTCCACCTGCTTGTGTTCCCTCTCTTGCTGTCTCTCTCTGTGTGTCAAATAAATAAATAAAAATCTTTAAAAAAAAAAATAAAAGAAGAGCTACCCTACGGCCCAACAATTGTACTATTTGGTGTTTATCCAAATGATACAAACATAATGATTCAAAGGGACACCCCAATGTTTATAGCAGCAATGTCCACAATAGCCAAACTACGGAAAGAGCCCAGATGTCCATCGACAGATGAGTTGACAAAGAAGATGTGGTATCTATCTTTAATGGAATATTAGTCAACCATCAAAAAGAATGAAATCTTGCCATTTGCAATGACATGGATGGAACTAGAGGGTATTATGTGAACTAAAATAAGTCAGTCAGAAAAAGATAAATATCATATGATTTCACTTGTATGTGGAGTTTAAGGAACAAAATAGATGAACATAAGGGAAGGGAAGGAAAAATAAGACAAAACCAGAGAGGGAAAGAAAGCATAAAAGTTTAGGAAAAACTGAGGGTTGCTGGAGAGGAGGTGGTGCATGGCAGGGGAGCGGGGAGGGATGGAGTAACTGTATGATGGGCATTCAGGAGGGCACATGATGTAATGAGCACTGGATGTTATACGCAACTGATGAATCACTAAATTCTACTTCTGAAACTAATAATACGCTATAGGTTAATTGAATTTAAGTTAAAAAAGAAATACAAAATAGAGAAGATCAAACATTGGTTCTTCCTAAAGATAAATAAAATTGGTAAACTTTTGGTGAGACTGATTAGAGAAAGAAAAAGAAAAAGATCCCCTGAGACCTGAGACTTAGAAAGGTCTGCTTGCAGGGCGCCTGGGTGGCTCAGTCCTTAAGCGTCTGCCTTCAGCTTGGTTCGTGATCCCAGAGTCCTGGGATCGAGCCCCACATCGGGCTCTCTGCTCAGCGGGAAGCCTGCTTCTCCCTCTCCTACTCCCTAGCTTGTGTTCCCTCTCTCGCTGTTTCTCTGTCAAAAAAATAAATAAAAATCTTTAAAAAAATAAAGGTCTGGGGCTCCTGGGTGGCTCAGTGGGTTAGGCCTCTGCCTTCGGCTCAGGTCCTGGTCTCAGGGTCCTGGGATCGAGCCCCGTGCCTGCTTCCCCTTCTCTCTCTGCCTGCCTGTCTGCCTACTTGTGATATCTCTGTCAAAAAAATATATAAAAATCTTGAAAAAAAGAAAGGTCTGCTTGCGAAGTGAGCCCTTGGTTGGCACTTGGGAACTTGGATGTCATGAGGGGTCTCGTCATTTCCAGAACTGATAAAGTGGCTCAATGTGTGAAAAAAATGTTTACGCTGAATCTCTGTGTTCCTTCTGGGACTCTGAAATTTTGGTATGAGTCAGGCAGAGGGTGTCTTACATGAACATCCTCCAGTAAAAACCCTGGACACCAAATGTACGGAATCTCCTTAGTAGACGGTATTTCACACGTGCCGTCACAGATCATTTTTGGAAAACGCAAGTGCATCCTATGTGACTCCACTGGAAGAGGATTCTTGGAAACCTGTGACAGGTTTCCTCTGGAATTCCCCGCATGTGCCTTTTCCTTTGCTGGTTTTGCTTTATATCCTGTCACTATAATAAATCACAGCCATGAGTACAACCAACCGCATGCTGAGTGCTCTGAGCCCTCCTATTGAATCATAGCATGGGGAGTGGTCTTTAGGACCCCCACAGAGTTGACTGATAGACAGATAGATAGGCAGATGGATACAGAAAGAAGCAACTAATATTTCAAAATCATGTTTATATTCATAGGACAAATGAATTTGAATATATAATCATGTTATTTATTTAATGTGAAAAAAGAAACTTATGTCTTAAATTTTGGCATGGAAATTAATATAAAAACAGTAATTTTTTTCTAAAAATGTAATCTTGATCAAGAAACAACTTTTTTTTAACTCAGTATTTACTCACCTTTAGTAATTTGATTTCTCGCATAGCAATTTTTTTAACCATTTTGTCATCATCACTTTCTAAGAACTTCTTGATGGCCACAATTCTTCCACTGTCTTTATTCCTACACTTCATCACCATTCCATAGCTCCCTTCTCCAACCAATCCTAGGTTCTCATATTTTTCCATTTTAATTCAAAACCGGTAGGAATTCTTCTTGCTGTGGAAACCAAAACATAGAGTTCATAATGCTGACCATATTCATTTCCTCCACCTTTCCAGTAAATTAATTCTTTTTTTTTTTTAAGGTTTTATTTATTTACTTATTTGACAGACAGAGATCACAAGTAGGCAGAGAGGCAGGCAGAGAGAGAGGGAGAAGCAGGCTCCCCGCTGAGCGGGCCTGATGTGGGGCTCGATCCCAGGACCTGGGATCATGACCTGAGCCGAAGGCAGAGGCTTTAACCCACTGAGACACCCAGGCACCCCTCCAGTAAATTAATTCTTCCCCACTTGTTTTCCATATTAGAGCAGTCGCTGTGTTAATGGGTCTTCTGTTCTGACTCACAATTTCTTACTGCTTCTACATCTAAGCTATGTTTTTCAAATTATTGCATTAGACAAGACATTTCATAATAGACAAGAATTAAAGTTTAAGTTAAAGTTTAATTTATTAAATGCCATGTTAATGAAATTCAATATATTTTTAATTCAGATAAAGCAATATTTGAACTATCATGGAAAACAAGTATAGCTTACTTTAGAAAAAAACACAACTCCTTTTCACTCAGAGGTGAAAAAACGCAAGTGAGTTTTGTTTTGTGTTTTAAGATTTTACTGTTAAGTAATCTCCACACCCAAGTGGGACTCGGACTTATAGCCCTGAGATCAAGAGTCATTCACCCTACCGACTAAGCCGGACAGGCGTCCCAATGAGTTTGGTTCTAGTGAAGATCATATTTATTATTTTTACATCAGGTTTAAAAAAGCAAAGTTGAGGGGCAAGTAGATGGCTCAGTTAGTTAAGCAACCGACTCTTAGTTTCGGCTCAGGTCATGATCTCCTGGATGGTAGGATCGAGCCCCAAGTCGGGCTCCAGCCTCGGGTTGGGGGTAGGGGAGGGAGAGTCTACTTAAGGATTCTCTCCCTCTGTCCTTCCCCCCAATCATGCTCTCTATCTCTCTCTCTTTCTCAAATAAAGAAATCTTTTAAAAAAGCAAAATTGAAAATCTTTATGCACTTTCTACTCAGTTGGGAAAAATATTTGTTCACAAATGATCACGTACCAAGTTAACATTAAGAAATTTTCACAAAGCTGTTTTTCTTTACCTTTCTTAATGTCGTAATTAAATTCCCATATTGAACTTACAAAATAACGACATCACAGTATATAAGCAAATTGTTTAAAAATTAAATTTTAATAGGACCAAGTACAATATTTCAAAAATCCTTTTAATGATTACTCACTTTGAGTATGATCATTTGAGTTTTGTGTTTAGAATTCTTTTACATCTCATTATATGACATTTTTGGATAATGGCTATCCTAATAATGACTGATGAAGGACCAATGATCATTCTTCTACGTATTTTGGTATAGAAAAAAACTTTTCAGTTCAAATACAGATAGATTTTAATTCACAAGACTTGACTGCCATGAAATATAAAAGCCAGTTAAATTTATTTATTTATTTATTTATTTATAAAATATTTTATTTATTTATTTGACAGAGAGAAACACAACGAGAGGGAACACAAGCAGGGGGAGTGGGAGAGGGAGAAGCAGGCTTCCTGCCAAACAGGACGCCCAATGCAGAGCTGGATCCCAGGACCCCGGGATCATGACCTCACCAGAAGGCAGACACTTAACAACTGAGCCACCCAGGCGCCCCTAAGTTTATTTTTTAAATCTGATTTTGAAGTTAAATTCCAAAAGCAAAGAATAAAAAATATTTCTCCTAATCCCAATATGGTTCTAAGAGTTTTGTGAAGAATAATCTTTCAGTAACTGTACATTCAAATGATGATTTATAACTGATTTTTTTTAAAGATTTTATTGATTGATTGATAGAGACACAGTGACAGAGGGGAATGGGAGAGGAAGAAGCAGGCTCAGGGAGCTCATTGAGGGGCTGGATCCCACCAGGACCCTGGGATCATGACCTGAGCTGAAGGTAGACCCTTAACAACTGAGCCACCCAGGTACCTCTATAACTGGTTTTTTTAACCTAACAGTACAAGAATACTCATTCATAAAACGTTGAAAGAAAAAAAAAAAAACTCTCACCTATTTCATTAATTGTGTCCTATGGCAATCTAAAACTAATTTACCCAGATTGTGAATTGTGATGTTTCATTTGCTTCCATATTATCAGTTATCAGCACCCTGACAACAAAAACAAAATAAATACCCTCTTTGTTCTAGCAAACGGTGATAATCCAGCGTGTATACATTTTCATCAGTTTACCTTAATAATCTAAGGATAGATAGATAGATAGATAGGCAGACAGACATGGAAAACCAGAAGACTGAGCCGAAGTGGGAAGAGATGAAAATAAATTCCCGTCAACACCAACTCCAACTATTTCATATTTTACCACTAGCTTTGATAGTAGTTTCTATAAGCTGTTTACAGAGCAGTGTCCACAATACTAACTTTCCATATTTGACATATTAACTTCCATTTAATCTCTACTATTTTTTTTAAATGTCTGTCTGAGAAAAATTATCAATGTAATTCTCTCTCCTTTCCTGAAATTTTTTCCCCTTCCATTAAGACAGCATGCTTTCTTAATGACTAGACCTTTAGGTTTCTCATGCCAAGAGCAAAAATAGGGGGACACTATAATCTGAATCATTTTTAAACACTTTGCAATTGGTGTCCTCAATGCCTGAAAATGCAAAGTGAACAAAATTAAGATTACCTTAAGCAGGTCTAAGATGTGATGAAGCGTATGGCAAGCTAACAGTAAGCAAGTCTTATTCTGGAAACCAACCAGGCATGTAGGCACAGCACGTTGAATACACCTGCTTTTTGCTTTTTACTGCCCACAAATACCTTAGAAGTATCACAGCTTAAAAAGCCTCTGGTTTCCTGAAACAGTTACTCATAAACTACAGTTTTTCATGCCTTCTACTCCTGTGCACAGACTGAAAGGATGCCTGGCCAAATTGGCAATGCCGTATTCCTGGACACGTGCCATGTAAGCATATGGTTCTAATGCCAACAGTCAGGGACTAAAAACAATGCTTTTTGTTGTTGTTGTTGTTGTTAAAGACAGACTGAAATCTATCATAGATCAATGAACGAGATAATAAAAGTTTTTTAAAGTATTGTACAAATAAAATAAAAATTTAAAAAAATAAATTAATAAAAAATAACAGTACTGTACTTGGGGCGCCTGGGTGGCTCCGCTGGTTAAGTGACTGCCTGTGGCTCCAGTCGTGATCTTGGAGAGACGGGATCAAAGCCCGCATCAGGCTCTCTGCTCAGCAGGGAGTCTGCTTCTCCCTCTGACCCTCCCCTTCTCATTCTCTCTCTCAAATAAAATCTTTTTATAAAAAGATAATAAATGTATTATGCTTACCGTTTCTTTAAAATCCTTTCACATGGAAAGACCCAGAGGTTTCCAACTTGGAAACAAATTTGGGGTGAAATGCATCTCGCTCCCAGGTCTACAAGATGCTGACTAGCAAACCGGCAGTTCCGGAGCTGGTTGGGGTTCTTCTGGGGACACAGTCGCGGGTCGGAGGCGAAGCGGGCGGGGAGGCAGAGCGGCCTCGGCCTGCCGCAGGCGCGCACTCGGGAGGACCGCGGGCCGCATGCTGCCGTCGTCAAGGCAACGACCTCACTCTGCCCCAACCATTGGAACAGTCTCCCGAGAGAGATACAGCCCGGGTCAGAATGCGCCCACGGCAGGCGCCAACCCGCCTGTCAAGGCCCAGGCCCGTAAAGAAATGAGCTGGACGGGAGGGCGCCGTCTCCCCGCTCTCAAGGCGCCCAGTCCCGGGAGTCTGTGAACCTGCGCGGCTCCCGCAAGCCCCGGGCGAAGGCGTTGGCCGCCGAGCTGCAAGGGGGCGGGCTCTCACCCGCCCGGCCCCGCCCCGAGTGCGCCAAGCTTTCCGTGCTCTGATTGGCTGGGCCCTGTCGTCACGAGCTACGATTGGCTCAGCGCCAGCCACCCCCGCCCCTGCACCTGGGGCTTGGCCGGGTTCTGCTCACCGAGGCGCAGACGCCAGCGCCCACTGATGCTTCAGTTCTGGAGCCGAGCGGCTCCGTCTGCGTTCGCCGCGAGGCCTCTCCTCGCCGCTGAGGGCTAGAGGCGACTCCGGTGCTTACGGAGAGAATTAAGGGGTGGTGGCGCTGAGGGACTGGGAGAAAACAGAAGAGGGACACAGGCAGAGGGCGACGAAGCACTCCTCCCCGAGGCCCTGCAGGGGCGGGGAGCCGGGCCTGCCCTGGGCGCCCCCACCCGGGAAGGTGCCGGCCTGACCGCGATTCGATGCCTCCCTTCTGGTCGGGGCAGTGGGGCCAGGCCGGGCCAGGTGGGTGACGAGGGTGACACCCTAGGAGGTGATGATTAGTAGGTGAGGCAAGGTGAAAGCAAGCAGGTGACAACGCAAGTGACGTAGGAGGGACCTCGAGGACAGCTTGGGCACTGAAAGCGAGGGACACACCTTGGCTGGAGATAATGGAAGAGGGAGAGAGGAGAAGGGCTAGGGCGTCCGCGAGGCTGGAAGAGAGGTGCAGTGCGGGCGTGTGGCCGCCGAAGAGGGTGCAGTTGCGGGTGACACGTTGAAGGCACAGACAATGCTCAGGGTTAGATCCAGGGCCAGGCAAGACTGGTGGTTAAGAATGACGCACAGGCTTGGGTCACATTAACAAACGGGGTTTTCCTCACCTTCAAGTAGTTTGGGGTTTAGGCCATGCCCCTCCAGTGAGAGGCCTTAAGCACTCGGATATTTTCGCATTATGTCATGAAGACTGGGACCCTGGCGGACTCAGTCCGCGTAACCCTTGATCTCAGGGATCCTGAGTTTGAGCCCCTCGTTGGGTGTAGAGATGATGTAAATCTTTATAAAAAGAAATCATGAAGACTAAATGTTTTATCATTGTATTTGGTCTCTAGAACACCTTGATCCAAGTAAGAGAATGTCCTGGAGCAGCAGATATCTACAACCGTAGTCAAAATTAGGTATTAATTCCTTCTTGTACACTGAGAGATAAATGTTCTGATTTATAAATTATCTTCTGTGAGCGTGGCTAGCATGAATTAATCTTCCAGTGCTTGGTCACCTTGGTCAAGCTGCTTAAAATCTAGTTCCTGAAGCTATAATTATGAGGAGCAGACCTAGGACCTGGGCATGGAAAGAATACAATTCTTTGGTCAATTTAAGATCTCATAACATAGAAGTTACCTCTATCCCTGGCTCTAACCAAGTTGGAGGGAGCCATGCCCCCTCTGTAGGCTATAACCTAATCTGATGAACTTTTTATATGAATTCAGGAGACCCCCTATTATAAAGTAGCAAATCCAGGTTTGTTAGGACTAAAGCTTGAAGAACAAGAATATAAAAGTATTTTACTTTTCCAACCTTATAAGTATATTCAAAAATGTAAACATTTAAAGGCCCCTCCAGGCAAGAGGCCCTGAAACTCAAATAACCTGTTTATACCCCACAGGGGAACCAAAAGGATAAAAATTAAAAATACTAGATTTGGTGAATAGACAATGCTTGAAAAAACAGTTTCAAAAAAAAAACTGAGTTTGAAAGCCAACTGTGAAGGAGACATAGGGTATTCAACAAATTGTACATCCTAGGTAAAGCTATCTACAGGTTTGCTAAGGAGGTAGTATTAGGTAGAAACAGGATTAGGTTATTGCTTATTTTTCTTTATCAACTGGGAAATCTTTGTAGGGAAGAAGAATGCAGGGGCGCCTGGGTGGCTCAGTGGGTTAAACCTCTGCCTTCGGCTCAGGTCATGGTCTCGGGGTCCTGGGATAGAGGCGCACGTCAGGCTCCCTGTTCAGCGGGGAGCCTGCTTCCCCCTCTCTCTCTGCCTGCCTTTCTGCCTACTTGTATTCTCTCTCTCTATCAAATAAATAAAAAGATAAAATCTTTAAAAAAAAAAAAAAAAAGAATGGAGAGAAGCTTTAAAGAGGCATGAAAAGCCCAGGACAGGTAGTGAAGGTGGTAAAGTATGAGATGGTCTTACCCTTGAAGAGGCTTAGAGGAAAAAGGGAAAACTGAGAAAAGTGTAGGACATACACATTAGCTTACCTGGATCTTCTCAGTAAAAGAACTTCATCTTTGCTGAAAAAGATAATGGTGAGATTGAGGCTCAAGGATTTAAGAGCAAAAATACCTTGAAATAGGTAGTTATGAAGAAGTCATTGTTATATGAAAAGAATACAAAATAGTAAAATGTGCCCATTTGAGCCTGGACACCATGAATTTGCAGTGAAACCAATGGACTCTGTTTTATAGGACTTGGCATCCCCAGGGTCAAGAATGGAGAAAACAGATGACACACAAGCTAACTCTTAGATGATTGGTACTGCAAGGAGAATAAATAAAGAAGTTAAAAAATTAAATATGATGGAGGAGTACCTAGCTGGCTCAGTCAGAAGAGCGAAGAAGAAAGAAGAAGAGAGGAGGAGGAGGCGGAGGAGGCCGCGGCGGAGGCGGAGGAGGCGGAGGCGGAGGAGGCGGAGGAGGCGGAGGCGGAGGAGGCGGAGGAGGAAGAGAGGAGGAGGAATCAAGTGTGATGGAGAAAGCACCACTGAAATGGCTCGCCATGGGTTCCATCTAGATAGGAAGTCAAATTTAGACAGAATTTAGCTAATAAACTGAAAATGCAGAGGCACCAAAGGAGTGGAGGTCACAAAGGCATGAAGTTTAATGGAGTGAAATAGGGGAAGAGTGACTGTTAAAGCAATTTGTGAATTTAAGACTTTGGAATTGGCACAAGATGATAATGATGGGTTCCAAAAGGTGGAATGTTTGGCTCTTCCTTTGCGTAGCTGAAGATTAGTGAAGAATGTCATTGGAATTGAATTCAATTCCATGAGATCAGAATAGGCAAAGTGTTGAATTTTTTATGAAAAATCATAACATGAACTACTCAAGTGGGACAATATAGAGAGAAGGTGAGAGGGACATTTTAATCACTAAAAAAAGTTAAAATAATTCTAAAAATCTAAAGAAAACAGTGTGGGAGTGCATGAGATTTGCAACAAGTGAGCAGAACTGGCGATATAGTAAAGAACAAAGGTTAAAGGAGACAAAGGACCGGGCGCCTGGGTGGCTCAGTGGGTTAAAGCCTCTGACTTCGGCTCAGGTCATGATCTCAGAGTCCTGGGATCGAGCCCCACATTGGGCTCTCTGCTCAGCAAGGAGCCTGCTTCCTCCTCTCTCTCTGCCTGCCTCTCTGCCTACTTGTGATCTCTGTCTGTCAAATAAATAAATAAAATCTAAAAAAAAAATAAAAATAAAAAAATAAAAGAGACAAAGGACCATTTGACCCAGCAATGTCATGCCTAGATATATACCCAAGAAAAATGAAAACATATGTTCACACAGAAAACTTTAAACAACCACAGTGAGATACCACCTCACACACCAGTCAGAATGGCTAAAATTTATAAGTCAGTAAACGACAGATGTTGGTGAGGATGCAGAGAAAGGGGAACCCTCCTACACCGTTGGTGGGAATGCAAACTGGTGCAGCCACTCTGGAAAACAGTCACATTACTGGGTATTTACCCTAAAGATACAAAGGAAGTGATCTGAATGGGCATGTGCACCTGAATGTTTATAGCAGCAATGTCCACAATAGCCAAACTATAGAGAGAACCTAGATGTCCATCAACAGATGGATGATCAAAGATGTGATATGTGTATGTATGTGTGTGTGTATATATATATGATGGAATATTATGCAGCCATCAAAAAAGAAAAACAAAATCTTGCCATTTGCAACAACATGGATGGGACTAGAGGATATTATGCTAAGAGAAATAAGTCAGTTACAGAAAGACAATTATCATATGATCTCTCTGATATGAGGAATTTGAGAAGCAGGGTGGGCGGTCATGGAGGGTAGGGAGGGGAAAAAATGAAACAAGATGGAACTGGGGAGGGAGACAAACCATAAGAGATGCTTAATCTCAGGAAACAAACAGGGTTGCTGGAGGGGTAAGCGGGGAGGAATAGGGTGGCTGGGTTATGGACATTGGGGAAGGTATGTGCTACGGTGAGTGCTGTGAAGTGTGTAAGACTGATGATTCAGAGACTTGTACCCCTGAAGCAAATAATACATTATATGTTAATAAAAAAATTATACGGGGAAAAAAACTTTAAACAAATGTTTATAGTAGCAATGATAGAATATCCAAAAAGTGAAACTCAAATGTCCATCAACTAATGAATGGATAATCGATGGTATATCCACACAATGGAATATAAAAAGAATGAAGTATTGATACATGCTACAATATGGATGAATCTTGAAAACCTTATGCTAAACGAAAGAAGCCTGACACAAAAAGCCATGTGTTTTCATTTCTTTTTTTTTTTTTAGATTTTATTTATTTATTTGATAAAGAGATCACAAGCAGGCAGAGAGGCAGGCAGAGAGAGAGGAGGAAGCAGGCTCCCTGCTGAGCAGAGAGCCCGATGCGGGGCTCGATCCCAGGGCTCCGAGATCATGACCTGAGCCGAAGGCAGCGGCTTAACCCACTGAGCCACCCAGGCGCCCCTGTTCTTTTCATTTCTGAAGTGTCCATCATAGGCAAATCCACAGAAGCAGAAAGATTAGTGGTCACCGGAGACTGAGTGGGAGATGGGAATGGATTTGGATTGGGATGGGTATGCATTTCCTTTTAGGGTGATGAAAATGTTCTGGAATTAGATAGTGGTCATG